CGAGTAGTTCTTTAATGGTCTTCTGCTACAATCAAAATGTATAAAATGTGCCAATGGGAATGAATGTAATGTGACATTCTAGAAAACAATTGCACAAGCCTACTACTTTACTTCTATGCTGTACAAATAATAATAATATGAATATGACATACCTCCAGCATCATGGGCCCAAGTGCATCCTTGTCTATGACACTTTGGCCTGTAGAGGATATGTCCGCTTTCTGAACTTCATCCTCATTTGCAGCTGCTGCTTTCTCTGCAACAGAAAAAAATCAAAATCAAAGATGACACAATATGCAATACCCGCGAGATACATGTATACACACACACACTAGCAATATACTTTGTAATATAGGACAGAGGCAGCCATTCTAAGAGATGAGCAAATAGAGGTCTATGAAATCACAGGAAAATGGTGAATTACTCGAGTTACGGCACCTGATGCTAGGGGGGATACAGAAAGGTCACTGAAGCCTGATCAATAAACTTTTCAACTTTACTTAATCCGTTTTTCATGCCACCAGAAGAGTTCTGGTACTGTGTGTAGGCGACGGGTACGTTTCAAAAGATATGCTATAATTTCTAGGGTGTTTTCCATATTTGTGCTTAGTCACAGGATGGCTATGAGAAGAGTCATTTCATGTTCACGTTTATCCACACAAATAAAACCGGCTGCACTGCCAAACACTACCTTGGAGCCGACTTGACATTTCTAAACACACTGCCCATAGCCAACGTTTACCGCAAGGAAGGGACATTCCTGAGATTCCCAAGTAGCTTGGAACAGGATCCCGAAGTTGTTTCTGTATGATTAAAATAACTCTCAGCTTTTTTATACTTCTATTGGTGTCAAGATTTCTAGGCTGATGTCGATCTGTTTAGTAAATAAGCCAATGCCCTAGGCATTCACAGATCCTAATTGTTAACCAGATGCGACACTTATTTTGTAACAAGCTGGCAGGCGCTTGTTAAGCACGGCTTATGCTTTATTTTCTGTCAATAAATCTTAATTAGGAAATAACTTGGTTTAAAAAAGAGGCAAAGCAACATCAGCCAGTATGCTGAATATTGCTGCGATGAGTAGTTACCCACAAAATCACTTCACTAGTTTAATGTGGTGGTCACCCAATGTGAGATTTCTGAGGATTACTGCACTGTGTCTTTAAAAAAAAAAAATAATTCCCCCAAATAATTAAAGTGATATTAAAGAGAACTATGGGCCAACCTTTTTTGCCATAGTTCTCTTTAGGGTCAGAGGAGGACATATACTAAATGTCCTCCTGTGACCTAAAACTCAGCATATAGTGGGCAATATTGTCGGGATCTGTGCGATCGGCGGTATGAGATTGCCCATTACTCAGTACAGTATATCTCTATAGAAAAGGAACAAAAGAGAGCGCCTCCATAAACGGTTTACCGTTTACCAACACAGGGATCGAGGTTACTGGTGTTTTACATCGCTCCAGATTGTCCCTGCCAGGGGTTCCGTCCTCTCACCTTATTCTACTGGTTTTTATTCTACCGAACTGTTGTAAGTACAGCTTTAGGCCTGGTTCCCACCTGGGCGTTTTACAGCTCGTAGGAACGCCCTACGCCCAAAGAAGTACAGGAGCTTCTTTGGGGCGTATTTGCCGCACGTATCCATTGGGATACAGCCAGGTAGCTCTCAGAAACGCGCGTTTGTCGCACGGGTTTTTTTTACCGCAAATCGCTGTAAAACGTGCAGTACGAAACGCGCGACAAACGCGCATATTCGATACGCCTAGGTGTGAACCCAGCCTTAGAGCTGCGTGTTTTTACTATTAAATAAAATGTTTACACTATGGAGGCGCTCTCTTTTGTTCCTTTTCTCATAGACTGGTGGTCCATCTAATCTGTGGGAGCTGCCTCCATCGTGTTTGTTGTATTTTTACTGCTGAGCTCTTTTGTATTTGAAGGCGCCGGCATTGTTTTGCAAATATATCTATAGAGCCGACGTGTGCCAGCTTCAGTGTCACACGTCGGCCCTAATTATGGGGATGAGTGCATTTCAGTCTCCCCATAATTCTTCTTTAAAATCCCTTCCCTTTTAAAGCTATTTCTTTGCTCATTCGTTAGCTGATCCCAAACCGCTCTCCCCTCCCTGACTGTTGCGGGTGTCTCCATCAGCTAGCTGGCTGCAGAGGAGACACCAATGCATGCACGTTCCCGGCTATGGCCGCAAGTAGCCGAGTGAGTTCATAGATGCACACGGCGTGTAGCAAGCCATGCCCGTGCTCACTTCCCAACAGACTGACTGACAGCAGAAGTAGCCAATGGCTCATCTGCCCTCAGTACCCTCAACCAGGAAGTTCAGAATGAAGGATATCCTCTGGGACCTTGCAGCAGTGACAAGTGACCACAGGTAAGTGTGGGGGACGGGGGGGGACACAGAAAGGTAGTAGGCATTTTTTTACCTTAATGCATAGAATACATTACCTGCCTTTAGTACTACTTTAAAGTCCATTCACCTTTATGGATGACTAGCATTTATTGTGGTAATGAAGAGATGCAGTGATGATGTACACATGTGCACATTTTCATGACTTTCCTCATTTTCTCCTCATAGGCTTTCCTGATTTTTTTAATGAACCTTTTATTAGATGCCAAATTTTCTCCACAGAAAAAAAAAAAAATCAGTCAGACACCAGGGTTTGGATGGTAATTACCCTGTAAACAGCTCTCCCCCTCCCTGTTATTCATTGTAACATGATCAGTAAACACCAGCTCTGCCCATGCACACAATACACGGTCGGGGGTGGGGTGGGGAATCCTCGGAATACTAATAAATAGGAGAGGTGAGATAGAGCTTGTAAAATCACAGGCTGACTTTTACATGAGAATATGAAGAGGAAAGCTAACAAAAAAAGTTTCTGTGTTCATATACAGCAACTGCCTATGTCATGTACACTCAGTGTACACTGCTGGTATACGTTTAAAAAAAAAAACACCTCTGCAAAAGGTGGAAATGGGCTGGGGTAACCTATTTAGAACTTTGTGAGTGATTGATTATTTTTTTCTTTAACCAGTGGTGACCAAATCTGAACGTTTGTCAGCTGGGACACCAACAGCACGTTTAAATGAAACCCACAAGCAATGCGGACTATTCTATGCCATCTACACCGCATAATGCCAAAAGCAAAAAGAGTTTGAATAAGTCCTAGCACACAAACCCTTGT